CCCCCCAGGGCTGGGGCAGGGCCACCGGCCACCAGGCTCCTGCCCGAGTCACCTGAGGGTTGGACCTAAGCTGGGCTGGACCTAAGCTCTGCTTTGGAGGGGGAGTCCCAGCCTTGAGCAGTCCCCCAGGAGCCGCACAAGCAGGTGAAGTGCCGGGGTCTCCGGGCGGACCTGGGGCACCGGGCTGCGGGAAGCGGATGTTCCCAGGCCCTGCCCCACCATCTCTCCGCCGTTCGTCACCCATCGCAGTTGGGATGTGGCGTGTCCGGGCAGCGCGAGGGGCCGCGACCCCCGTGGGACCCCCGACGTGGAGGAGCAGCACCAGCGCCATCATCCCCGGCACCGTAGGGGGGAAAGGCTCTTCGCTCCCTCACAGCATGTCTCTGGGGAGGGGGATCCGGCCTCGGAGGGGCCCCCAGCCCAAAGGGACGGACTCTGCCTCGCTGCGTTCCCACCGCCGAGGCTCAGCCCCGCGTGTCTGGGGCCTGGCCCACGGCGAGCAGGTGGCAGCGAGGGCGAGCGAGCTTCACCCCAGGAAAGACAGACAACTCCCACACTCTGCTTGCGGAGCAGCAAGGGGGATCGGCACAAACCTGGGGTGAGTCTGGGCCCCTGGTGCACAAAACCAGGGGAGCAGGCGGCGGGGAGGCATCAGAGGGAGCAGAGTCAGGCCCGTGGCCAGGCTCTCCCGGCACTGCACCTATTAGCATGGGTAACGCAACTTAAAGACCAAACCTTGAGCTGCTCCTGACAGATCCCCTCAGCAAACGCCTGCCTGGGGGAGGGGATGCTCCCAGCATCCCAGAGCCTGAAGAAAGGAGCTTTTCATCGCTGCTGGGCAGGGCCAGGGCCCCTCTGGAGGATGAGCTCTGCTGGCCAGAGACCCCCCCCAATGCCTGGCCACCCCCAGCCCCGTTTGGGCTCTGTCCCTGGGCAATGGAGCAGAGCCAGTGGTGGGCACAGCAGCAGGGAGAGGGGACCCGGTGACCAGGGAAGAGACTGACCCACCTTCCTTCACAGACCATGAAACGCCCCCTCTGAAAGCGGAGTTAAACATCCACAGCCTGAGAATGCAGGGACGGTTGTCTGAAGTCTGATTTATCTTAACAACAGGCCCCAGTCGCCACAAGAAAAAAATGAGAGAGAAAAAAAACCATAAACATCCCCGAAGTCTTCCCGTGCAGCTGTCAGCAGGCAGGGAGGGCTTCTAGCTGCATACATAAAAGTGCTGCAGGGAAGAAAAAGGAATATGCTGAAACCAAACCCTGCTCTTTCCACAGTAAAATACACAGCAAAGCAACACAGCCCCCGGCAGCGGGCAGGCGCCCGGTCCCTCTGCCCAGTTCCCAGGGGGCACATAAACATTCAACTGGTCCAGACGGAGCTCTGATCCCCAGGCTGGGGCCAGCAAAAGGCACCAGCTCCAGGAGGAGACATCTGGGATGATTCGTGTCTGGCTCGGAGCTTGGCTGGGGAGGGGCCCGCAGAGCACAGCGCCGGCCGCTCGCTGCCCTGCGAGTGGCTTCCTGGTGCCCGTGGCTCTGCAATTCCCTCCTCCCTGCCAGGACACCGGCAGCCTGTCCCCATCCCCATCCCTGTCCCATCCCTCCTCGCCTCGCTGGGAGCATGAGGGCGGCTGGAGGTGGTGGGAGAGGGTTTCCAGCCCGGGGAAGGGGACGGTCGCTGCCCAGCCAGGCCAGCACCGCCCTCAGCTCCGAGCTCTGCAGCCAACCATCAGCCTCGAGAGGCCGTATCCAGCGTGTGCATCAGGACAGACAGACGGGGCTTTCACTGCCCACAGAGCTTTTTTCCAATGCTCTGAAAAACGTCTCCCCCCAGGGGGGGTAAGTGTAGCTCCAGCTCTAGCTGGGCTCCCAGCACACAGCAGGAGAGCCGGGCGCTCTTCTCTTCTGATCCCATCAAAGCAACAAGGAGCAGATGCTGCCGCTGTGCCCGGCAGAAACCTGAGGCCAGTCCCTCCGCTGAGTGGCTGCTGCCGTGTGAGGCTGCAGGAGAAACGCAGCCCCACGTCCCCCCCCTGCGTCCCACACCCACCCAGCGCCCTGCAGCCGCCCCCAGCGCCCGCGTCCTGCCGGGACTCCGTGGGAGCCAACCCGCAGACGCTGGGTGGAAAGCAGCTGGTCCCTGATCCACTCTGTAGATCTCCAGCCAGCCGCCCCCACCGAAAAAAGAGCATTTTCCAGTGTTGGCACCCAGCCCCAATCCTGCTGCCTCTTTTGGTTGATGTCAGGAAAAAATCCAACCCGAGTGTGAATCACTCCCAGCCCGGCCAGGCGTGCTCGCCTCCGCCACTCCCCTGGAAGCCGCCTCCGTTCAGCACCCGCTGCCGCAGACGGAGGGGATCTGCCCCGTTAAGTGTAACAAATGGCTTTACGGGATTAGGGCCCGTAATCTCCCAGGCTGGGTAATCTCCCCTAAGGGATTACTTGCCCACGGAGGCGTGGTGACCACCGGCCAGCCGACGCCTCGCTCCCTCCACGCCTGTCCCGGGCAGCGCCGAGGTGCGGCAGGGCTGGGGCTCAGGCAGCGCTTTCCGGGCGTTCCGAGGGCGCAGAAGCCCGGGAAGTCTCACTGGGGAGGAGCAGCGCTGCCGCGGGGCTCTGCCCTGAGCCCCGAGACGGGACACAACACCCCACATTGTCCCCTGTTACCTGCCAGCACTGGGCGGGCTCCCCGGGCCCCCTCCTCCCGCGGCGAGGCTCTGCCAGTCCGTGCCATCAGCGCTGGGTCCCCATTTCTCCACCTCCTCTTGGTCACGGCCTGGACAGGGTGGAAAAAAAGGGGATAAAAGCCATTTTGAGGAGTGACAGTTCCCCCTTCCCGTAGGCAGAGTCATGCAGAGCAGAAGAGCAATGCCGTGCCCTGGCAGAGCCTTGTGGCTGCTCTGAGCGACCCGGGGGGCACCGGGGCTGGCTGGGGGCGAGTGGAGCTGCCGGGGCCGTGGCCAGCTCCCGTCCCCGGGGCCAGCAGGTCCTGCCGGGCTCCGGAGGAGCCACCCAGCTACACCAAGGTGGGCTCCTGGTCCCACGCTCCCTGTTGCTGTCACAGCCTGGACCAGGAGCCTGGGAAGTTGTGAAGGTTCTGTGATCCCCTCGGGTTAAATTAAGGTGAAACGACACCAAATGACCGGTTGAAATGGTTTTACTTGCGGTAGAAACAGCTTAAAGTTGGAAAAGGGTCATCATAAGCGATGTGGTTTCTTATAAATCTATAAGAAAGAAAGGAAGGAAGAAAGGAAGGAGAGAGAGTCAATGAAATCCGGTCATCACCCGAGGATCCAGCGTTGTCTCAGGTCTGGTGATCTGTGGAAACAGCAAAGTTTTCTGTCACTTTTAAAATTCATTTTACCGGCTGATTTGCAGAGCAGACGGGGAGGGGCCGGTGCTCCACAGATTCGTTTCCCTGAGAGACGAGGAGAAGGTGGCGGGGGGGTTCTGCACAGGCGGTGAGGGGGAGT